CTGAGGAAACAAGCCAAGTTTTGGAAGAAGTTTGGCGAGGGACCTTCGTCACCGGGGTTAAATATCTGGCAAGATACTAACCTATCGAGCGATTCGGATGAAGAGGAAGAAAGGTACGAAGAGAAAGACGAAGAGAAGGCAGACGCGATGGTTGCCGAATAAGATGAGCGAACTCTACTAGAGTTGGCAACACATGACGTTGCTCAGGTTCCTATCTGCATCAGGTATCCGCAAGGTAACATAAATTTTGTTCTAAAAACTGGTTTGGTCCACCTATTACCCTCCTACCACGGTTTGGAGAATTAGGACTCGAACAAACACCTCAAGGAATTTCATGTAGTATGTTTAAGCATGAAACCCAACGAGGTTACGGATGATCTTATAAAGTTAAAGACATTCCCTTTTTCTTTAAAAGATCGGGCTAAAGATTGGCTCTACTCGTTACCGTCCGGTTCAGTAACGACTTGGAACCAAATGGCGCAGTTATTTTTAGATAAATTATTTCCCGCCTCCCGAGCCGCTACACTTCGTAGGGAAATATGCAATATCAAACAAAGAGATGTGAAAACCCTCCATGAATATTGGGAGAGGTTCAAATATCTCTGCGTTAGTTGCCCGCAACACGGAATTTCCGAGCAACTTTTGTTGCAGTATTTTTATGAGGGCCTTCTTCCTATGGAAAAGAAAGATGATTGATGCTGCTAGTGGAGGGGCAATTTTCAATAAAACCCTAACTCAAGTAAGGGCTCTGATCACCACTATGGCTGAGAACTCTCAGTATTTTAGTATGCGAGGTGATTTAAGGATAGGACCCCAAAAGATTAACGAGGTTAATACCGGTAACATTGAGAGTAGGTTATTTGATTTGACTAATCTCATTAAACAATTAGTTGTGGGTAAAGAGCAAGTTAAGGCATGCAGTATATGCAATGGGACGAACCATCCAACGGACGCGTGTCCACAACTCCAAGAAGATGTTTGGTTGCACCCGAAGATGTCAACGCCATCGGAGGCTTTCCAGGACAACAACCACAACAAAGGTTTTATAACCAGAGTTTTGGTGCCCAAAGACCTCCGCAACAGTTCCAGCAAAGGCAATTCCAGCAGCCATTCCAACAGAGAGCACCGTTTCAGCCAAACAACCAAGCCTCGAGCAGTGTAGGTATGTCTTTAGAAGATATTGTTAAATATCTTGCTACTAACACTTAATAATTTCAGGAAGAGACGAGGATGAATATCCAGAATTTGGTAACCCATAATCAAAGTTTAACGGCCCAACAGAAGAATTTGGAAGCTCAAATCGGGTAAATGATGAATTCGCTTAATAGCATTGAGAGCCAAGGTAAGTTACCATCCCAAACTGAAACTAACCTGAAAGCTAATGTTAGTGCCATTACTTTGAGAAACAGGACGGTTTCGGATCCTGAACCCAAAGCAAGAAGGAGTGAGAGGAAAGAAGAGAAAGGGGCCGAGATTACGGGTGACAAGTCAAATGAAGAAAAGGTTGAAGGTAAAAATGTAGAGGACAAAGGAAAGGCGCCCGAATTTGTCATCCGACCACCATTCCCAAAGAGATTCGAGCAAAACAAGAAGGAGCAAGAAGACAAGGAGATTATGGAGACTTTTCGCCGAGTTGAGGTAAATATTTCACTCTTAGATACTATTAAAAAGAGTACCTCGATATGCTAAGTTTTTGAAGGAGTTGTGTATGAACAAGAAGAAGTTGACCGGGAACGAGAAGGTTAGCATGGGCGTGAACGTATCCGCCGTGCTTCAAGGAGAGAAGATGCCACCTAAGTGCAAGGACCCAGGTATGTTTACTATTCCTTTAAGTTAGGTAATGTTTCAATAGATAAAGCCATGTTAGACTTAGGTGCATCTATAAATGTAATGTCTTACTCAATTTATTCATCACTGAATATGGGACCTCTTAAGAGGACGCGAGTTGTTATACAACTCGCCGATAGGTCCAATGTGTACCCCAAGGGAGTCCTTGAGGATGTGTTGGTTCAAGTTAACGACTTAGTCTTCCTGGTTGATTTCTACGTCATAGATATGGAGGAGCATAATACCTCCAAATCACCTTTGATATTGTTGGGAAGACCATTTCTGAAAACATCAAAAAAAAAATTGATGTTCATGATGGTACGTTAACTATAGAATTTGATGGTGAGGTCATTAAATTTAATATCTATGATGCCATTAGATATCCTAGTGATGTGTCTTATGTTAGTTTTGTTGATGTTTTATATCCTATTACTCATGATTTGTATGACCTGACTAACCGAGATTTGTTGGAGGTTGCGATTTCAAGGCACCTAGATGCGAGGACAAGTAATTTGTTGATGAAGGAGTATGATTTAGGGCCCGAGCTTAAAGAGATGGTCTTAGCCATGGAATCTAACCGGCACAAGAAGTTTCAGGTATCAAATGTTAATTTACCTTCTTCTTACACTAAGCTATTTCCTTCTATTTTGCAGGCCCCGGTACTTGACTTGAAGGAGTTACCGGACCACCTCAAGTATGCCTACCTAGGCAAGGCAATACTCTACCGGTGATCATCTCTACTGAGCTGTCAAGTGAAGAAGAAAAGCGGTTGGTGAATATGCTCGAAGAGCACAAGGAGGCAATTGGATGGACTATAGCTGATATCAAGGGATTGAGCCCTTCAGTTTGTATGCATAAGATTCTACTCGAGGATGACTACAAGCCTTTTCATGAAGCTCAACGACGCCTCATCCCGCCTATGATGGAGGTAGTGAAAAAGGAGATCCTCAAACTCCTTGACGCAGGTATTATCTATTCAATTTCAAATAGCAAATGGGTAAGCCCTGTTAAGGTAGTACCCAAAAAGACGGGTTTGACGGTAGTTAGGAACACCGAAGGTGAGTCGGTGCCTACTCGAGTCCAAAATGGATGGCGAGTATGCATCGACTATAGGAGGTTAAACTCGTCCACTAGAAAGGATCACTTTCCACTTCCCTTTATCGACCAAATGTTGGAACGATTAGCGGGAAAGTCTCACTACTGTTGTCTAGATGGATACTCCGGGTTCCATCAAATCCCGGTAGCGCCGGAGGACCAAGAAAAGACTACTTTTACATGCCCGTTTGGTACGTTTGCCTATAGGCGTATGCCTTTTGGCCTTTATAACGCACCAGCTACTTTTCAACATTGCATGGTAAGTATCTTTTCTGAGTATGTAGAGAGTATCATTGAGGTGTTTATGGATGATTTTACCGTTTATGGTAATTCGTTTGAGGACTGTTTGAATAATTTGACCAAGATTTTAAAAAGATGCATAGAGACTAACCTTGTTTTGAATTACGAAAAATGTCACTTTATGGTTAGTCATGGTCTTATCTTGGGTCATATTGTTTCTAAGAAGGGTATAGAGGTAGACAAGTCCAAAATAGATGTCATTAAAACTCTACCTTACCCCACTTGTGTTAGGGAAGTCCGTTCTTTCCTTGGTTATGCAGGGTTTTATAGGAGATTCATTAAGGATTTTTCGAAGATAACCCGACCACTTTGCTGTCTCTTACAAAAGGATGTGGACTTCCACTTCGATGGTGAATGCAAGAAGGCATTCAATGAATTAAAAGATAAGTTAACTTCTACACCCATAATTCAGCCCCAAATTGGGATCTCCCTTTTAAGATCATGTGTGATGCGAGTAATTACGCGGTCGGGGTTGTTTTGGGACAGAAGTTTGGTAAGGAACCACAAGTGATATACTATGCTTCTCGGACGTTGGATAATGCCCAAAGCAACTATTCAATGACGGAGCAGGAGCTTTTGTCCATAGTATTTGCTTTAGAGAAGTTTCGTCAGTATTTACTTGGTACTAAAGTGATAGTTTTTTTCTGATCATGCAGCTCTTAAATATTTAATGAAGAAGAAGGACGCCAAGCCTTGCCTTATCCGTTGGATGTTGCTTTTAAAAGAATTCAACCTAGAGATTCGGGATAAGAGCGGGTCGGAGAACTTGGTGGCCGATCATTTGAGTCGTTTGTTAAATGGTGAGGATCCTTCTACCTTGAAGGATGAATTTCCGGACGAGCATCTTCTTACCGTTCAAGAGACGACACCCTGGTACGCTGACTTAGTAAACTATCTAGTTACCAACACTTTGCCAGGTACGTTGACTAGAACTGAAAAGGATAGGATTAAGAGTCAAGCGAAGTATTATGTTTGGGATGACCCCTACCTTTGGAAGCATTGCTCTGATCAGATTATCAGGCGATGTGTCCCCCCAATACGAAGTACAAAATGTACTTCGATTTTGTCACAAATATGCTTGTGGGGGACATTTTGGTCCAAAGCGTACGGCACACAAAGTGCTTAATTGTGGCTTGTTTTAGCCATCCATTTTTAAAGACTCTTATATGTTTTGCAAGAGTTGTGATAGGTGCCAAAAGACGGGAAATATCGGACCACGAAATCAAATGCCCTAAAACCCGATTTTAGTTTGTGAAATCTTTGATGTATGGGGCATTGATTTCATGGGACCCTTTCCCGCCTCTTTTGGATTCACCTATATTTTATTGTGTGTCGATTATGTCTCGAAATGGGTGGAAGCTAAAGCCACCAGAACTGATGATGCTCGTACTGTTTCAGCTTTCCTTAGATCTAACATCTTCGCCAGGTTCGGCACACCAAGGGCCGTCATAAGCGATCGAGGGACGCACTTTTGCAATAAAGTGATCAAGGCGGTGTTTAAGAAGTACCATGTCACTCACCGGATTTCAACCGCATACCATCCTCAATCCAACGGGCAAGCCGAAGTCTCTAACAGGGAGATCAAATCCATTATAGAAAAGACCGTAAATCCTAATCGCAAGGATTGGACCGAGCGTTTGGACGATGCTTTGTGAGCCTACCGTACGGCCTACAAAACACCTATAGGTATGTCCCCTTTTCGATTAGTTTATGATAAACCATGTCATCTACCTGTTGAACTAGAACACAGGGCCTTTTGGGCTGTTTAGAAGTGTAACATGCGAATGGATGACGCGGGAGTTCTAAGGAAGCTACAACTTCAAGAGTTAGAGAAAATCAGAAACAACGCATACGAGAGCTCCAAGATCTATAAGGAGCAGACCAAGGCTTTCCACAACAAGATCATCTCTCGGAAAGAGTTTGTGGTTGGACAAAAGGTTTTACTCTTTCATTCATGCCTAAAGCTGTTTCCCGGTAAGCTTAGATCACGGTGGGTTGGTCCTTTCATAGTTGTTAAGGTTTATGCTCATGGAGCAGTCGATATTGAAAGCCCGAAAACAGGTAAGTCGTTTAAGGTGAACGGGCATAGACTGGAACCTTTTTATGAAGGGTTTCAGTCTACGGACATTGATGTTATGGCTCTTGAGCCACCGCTCGTTGTTAGTTAGTTTCGGTAGTGTCTAGCCAAAGACGTTAAAGAAAGGCGCTGATTGGGAGGCAACCCAATTTTTATTGCTTTATTTTCCGTTCTAGTTTAGTTAGTTTTAGTTTTAGTTGTCTTTCGAGATTGATGAGTTGCTTTCCCAGGTTGGCATTCTCGTGAGTATTGACGTTCAACACCCCCCCCCCCAGGGTGCAAAGAGGCTCTTACCACCCGCTTGGACCGTGTATTTGGCACAAGTCTACATATTCAGGGGAGTTTTCTCGTTCCCTTTGCTTTTTAATGTTTTAGACTATACCAATGAATGCATACATTGAGGACAATATATGGTTCAAGTATGGGGAATTATTGATTTCTAATGTGCAAGAGTGTGTTAGAAAGGGCTAAATTTTTTGAACTTTTGGCTTGATTTTGGGCATTTGTTAAATGAATTACATGAGTAACGATTTTCTTGATTTTCAATACCATAAACACCATAGCATGGACGATTGTATGACTTACTTGTTAGTCGTGATTAGCACATTTGAGATAACTTTTGTGAGGCTTGCTAATTTTATAGACAAAATGAACCCATGAGCTTTTGAGCCATGGTCGAACACTATTTTCGATCTCATTTCATTTTTGTGTGCATTGCATCTTCCATGTTCATCTCACTCTAGAACTTGCATTAGGTCTTTTCAAGATTGCACTTAGGCAATACTAGTGTGTGAAAATGATAGACGACCATCATTGATGTTTTCTTTTAACCATTTAGCCTAAAGCCAACCCTTATGTGTTTTCCTTTTTGGTCACCTCTTTTGAGCCTAATTACCCTTTTTCTTGACTTTTACACCAAATATATACCCCTTAGCCAAACACTTTCCTCACCAGACTTTGGAATGAGACTACAAGCTTTTAGTTAGGCAGACTTGTTGTACGGTCTGTATACCATCTACACGATCCTCAACACCTATATAATGATCAGTAGAGGTTCGAGAAAAAGATAAAAAAAAGAGAAAAAGAAAAAGAAAATATATATATATATATATATATATGTTCCATATGTGCAAATGAAAAAAAAATGATGAATGAATATATGGAGGCCGAACAATGGAAGAAACACAATTGTCTCCATAATGTTTTTAGCGAATAAGAGCTAAGAGATTGAGAAATTTTGTGATCGCTTTGACAAGACACGAGAATCATGTTTGAGTTGTAGTTTCCTTTCCAAGGTCCACTTTTAGTCACTTCACCAAATTATTCCCTACCTTGACCCTTAGCCACGTTACAACCCTTACTAAAGACCTTTTTGATTCACACCTAGGTTGACCATTAGCGATAGAGAATTGAGATCTAATTCAAGACTATGGTAGTGTATGTACATGTGAATTCATGTTTTGAGTGAAAACATCTACACCATTGTGTGAATGAGCAATTGTATTGCATATATCCTTTGTGAGTTGTTTGTGAAATTAGCATGTTCTCATCTTTGGTTTGTCTTGTGTGTTAATTTTCGCTAATATGGTTTAGTCGAACCTCCGTAAAATGATATGTATTTTTGTCCGTTCTCTAAAAATCAACTCATGATAAATTCGTAATGTTTGCCCAGGACGGTCAAAGTTCTAAGTGTGGGGATGTTTTGATAGCTATATTTTCTTGGTTGAAAATTAGAGTTAAGAAGCCTTTTATTTTCATCACTATGTGAATAAATGTGTTTACTTAACCTACATTTTCTTTTGTAGAGTCCAGCCCAAAAAAAATGAAAAAGCCCAACTTATGGCCTAACTTTTGTAGACTTCATCAAGCCCAAATAAAGCCCACATCTCCCCACATTTTTGATAGGCCAGAAGAGTTTGGAGAGGAGGCATACGGTAACAAGACGTGGGATCGAGAGGGAAGGAGGCGACAATAGTTCGTGGGGTTCAAAATGGAGAAGACGTGGGGTGCGATCGATCGGATTGGAGAGGAACGTGATCAAAGACAAGGGGGTTGGTTCATTAGAAAAGGCGAGAGGGACTGGAGTCGCGAGAGAGAGAGACGCGAGGGTGAAGAGGATGGCAGGGGGCTGTTCGATTGAAAGGAGAACGAGGACAGCAGGTGGTAGCTCGTTCGACTGGAGAGGACAGAGACAGCAGGGGCTGTTCGATTGAAGAAGCTGGAGACGAAGGTGAGAGAGAGACATCAGCTGGTTCCATTGGAGAAGACGGATGCGAAAGTGATCACAACAACCTTTTCTCATCAATTTTCATGATTCTTTCGGTAAATCCTAAAACCTTTAGAATCAGTAACCTAGTTTAGCTATGTTTTGCTAATTTTGTTCATTCCAACATTGATTTAATTAGGTTTTGATTTGTTATTGCTTTGAGTTTTTGTTGTAAACATGTTTGAACAAGCCTTTTTGCATGATTTCTAAACTTATTATTTATCGTATTTGGGTTTTCAATTAGTCTAGCTAACTGATTGGAATTCTCTTATGGAATGGTTATTCAGAATTCTTAGATACGTAATCGTCTTAGAATTTTGATAGAGTGACACTAGTATTCATTTGGTTTCGATAAGGTTTTTGGATTGAATATTTGAAATCTTGCGATTAGAGCCTCGATAAGCCGAGCTTATGAGCTTATGGCTTTGAATTGGTACTTTTTTCTAGTCCGATAAAGCTAGTCGCACCTACGAGTTTAAGAGCTTATTTGAACTTGTATTTGTGGTTAAGGGTTGATTAGAGAGCTTATTTTAATCAATGATTATCTATGGAAAATTGGGTCGTTAGAGCTTGTTAACGATTAAAACCAATTCGGGTTTGTCCTTTCCGTTTACATTTTTTTTTTTTTGGAATTGATGATAGGCACTAACATCTTAACCGGTATTGAATCGATGTTGGGACTTTAATCAATTGTTTTAGTTTATATTTTATCGCATTTTTAGAGTAATTAATCAAATCCAATCCCCCCCCCCTCATGATTATTAGTATTTTTACATTTTCATCGTGTACTTGATTCGCTAGTCGTATAACGTTAGACCGAGTCTCTGTGGATTTGACCCGACTTACACTACTACAATTTTGGTTGTAATTAGTCGTTAGTTGGAATTTATTATTTGGTGGACTCGGTATCCGTCATTTCACAACTTCCGTTATCAATGATGAGATTACATACCTTTTTATGGATGGAGCAATGAGATCGAAAAAGGTTCTTTCTTTGTCCTTCTTCTTTGGACGAGAGGAGTACTCGTTGGAGTATGAGGTTGATCTTCTGTTGGAAGTCATCCTTAGCAAACTCGGCACCATCATAGTCTCCATCATCCCTGTTTTCTTTGTTGTCTACTAATCTAACTGTTCTTCAGTTAGTACATTCATTGGATCTATGACCCGGTTGTCCGCATCGACAACACTTGAGGCCCATTGGTTTGGCATACAGATTGGGGTTTTTTGGAGGAGCTGTATTCCCTTGTGGTCCTAGACTAGAGCTGTCGTTGTTGGCTCGAGGGGGTGGATCGGTGTCTCGTAGGTTTGTAACTCTCTTTCCATTATCGACGGTATGAGTTTGGACTTCGATAACTCCTTGGTATTGTTGTGCATAGCATAACGGAGTGAAAATGGCAAGAGGGAGATTAATACAAAAAAATGACTAAAAATGAAACAAACATATTTTTCTCGGATGTCGATCTTTTGCTTAAGATCAAATGTAGTATGTGTTTTTAGTTTAACATATCTATCCCGAATCTTAGGTTTTTTTTGTTTAGATCAAGTATATTATATGTTTTTAGTTTGATATCTAAAATATGGGTTTTCAACTTGCTTGGTATTTTATTTTGTATATGAGAATGTCCATTATACTACTTGGTGATAGTTATTTATCTGTCGTCTTGGTGTTACTACTATCAAGGTTTGATACACCCCTCTAATTACAATTTACATATTATAGAATGTTACGATAAAGTGTGATATTTGTCTTTATCAGTTTAATATTTGATATGTGGGTCATCGACCCCACTTGATATTAATTTTAATTTTTTATGAGAGAAAATCAATTATCTTAGCTTGGTGATGTGGTTTTTCATGCATCGCCTTGAACTTCCACTATTGTTACTACAACTTACGCACTCCTCTAATTTTCACTTGAAATATTATAGAACGTTTCTTTTTCATAACTTCAAATGAGATTTCAATTAAATTTGTTACAAAATGAACATCATGATTTTGTCACCTTATATGAGATTTATGTTAGAATTGTGACTTCTAATTAAACAAACTACTAACATTAGTCAAACATTTGTAGAGTACTTTGTAACACCATTCTCGGGCATAGTTATATAACTTAAATTAACATATGGTTCTAAGATTGTTGTCAACTTCTCTTAAAAACTTTTAATGTTAATGAGTAGTTGCCACACACATTTGCCTAACTTTTTTTAGAAGTGGACTTCAAATTTTAGCCTATAACATTTTTTTTTGAAGATGGTATTATCACTACTGTGCAACGTGCGGTTGGAACACTAGTAATGCTAATAGGTATATCATTTTGTCTATGATGACTAGAGATGTCTTGCTATACCTATATCTACCTTAGCATCTGAATCCGCGTTTACTACTAACGACCATGTTTTAGACATTTAGATGATTTGTAGAGAGGTCCAACACGGTCGTACTTTATTGATGATTTGAATTGGATGTTATCATTTAGACTTTCGAAGTGTAATTCCAAGGCTTAAGGATTTTAATATATATATATATATATATATATATATATGGATTATTGTAATAACTAATAGCTTCGTTTTGTATATTTCTAGTAGTATTTTTCGCATTTCATTCCTTACTTATATGTATACTACCAACCCGCCACAACTCGCAAGGGTTGGGTTGGGTCAGGTTGTTTAAATGGGTTGGGTTGAGATTTTCCAAACCGCCATAATTGAGTTGGGTTATAAAAATGTCAAAAACTGCCCAACTAACCTGCGTACACTCCTAATTTGTGTGGCTCCAAGCAAAGCATGATTGCACTGTCTACAATAGAGTCCGAGCATATC